ATCCACCCCCCCCCCCCCCGTTTCTGTACTAACCGGGATAAGGATACACACCATGCAGTGTGCCACTTCGAATTCCAACTGCCAAGGGTTATCTTAAGTCTTAATATTGAGTACAACGGACGTAGTTTGTTCGGCCCACCCAAAAGATTAAACGTTGTTCCTTGCTAGGCAGTCCACCCTGTACCACTGAAAGGCTAAGGGCGGGTGGGGGGGGCGACAGGAAAGAAATACCGGATGAATTGCTTTGCTAACACCGTGATCGAACATAGGTTTAATTTATAGGCGTGCATATTTTTGTGCTGCAGAAAAGTAAGAGGTTTCCTTGAAGAGTGATCAACAATTGTGTTGAGACTTGACACTGTACAGCATAGAATATGATCGTCCTACGACATGTTAGCTCTTTTAATGCTTACTGTCTCTATGATGTCGATACGTTTGTTGGCGATAAGGTCCTACTAATGGGTACCACGGGACCTCGTTTATTCGTGACATCCTAACGACTATAAGTTGTCCCTTCACAGGTCTGCAGCACAGACAAGGGGGATCTGACACGCGACCTCTAGGTTTGCGATCCAACTTCTTACTGACTGAGTCATGACGGCTCCCACCTCAAAATAATAAAGATGTCACAGTAATAATAGCATGGTCTATACAATGATTTACTCTGCCAATTAGTATGTACATGTAATTCTCCTGACCCATAACCCCTTGAAATTAAAAATACGAGATGTGCGATAAATACCTCAAGACACTTCTCTACACTAGAAACCAAAGTTGAAAATGTTGGCCTCTCCTCGGCCAAACCGCTCCAACAATAATTCATAATTTCATATCTGCAAATAATTCATATGATTGCATTTTCAAAACACAGAGTGAGAGAGAGAGAGAGAGAGAGAGTTCAATGTCCACTAGACACAAACTAGATCATTACGGGACTAATTTATGGTTCAATTTTATTTCAGTATTTATGGTGTCTTTAGTAGTGGGAGGAAACCAGAGGACCCGGAGAAAACCCACGGGGTTGGACAGGCGACCCTACTCCTTGTCACGTACAACCATGCCAGTTGACCCTATGACATCCACCATACCCCCACCACCATTTTCAAAACATCAACCAAAAGGGACAAATGATGAGACAATAGAAAACCCACGGGGTTGGACAGGCGACCCTACTCCTTGTCACGTACAACCACGCCAGTTGACCCAATGACATCTACCCCACCCCACCCCCCATTTTCACAACATCGACCCAAAGGGACAGATGATGAGACAATCATAAGTCACGGAGTTCTATCTTCAAAACATCAAACAAAACGGACAAAAGTTGAGACAATCATACGGGAAAGTGAAAAAAAGACAATGATTAAAAAATAGATCTCTATTTCGTTTCGTTTTTTATATACTTTCGATGGACTACAATACATGAAGATCTGACAAGTTGTACTCGAAGGTCGTGTCAGAGGTCGTAAGAGTGGCTTTTGACCTTGACGTCAGACATTGATTAATCAGCGTTGACATTCTAGTGGTTTACCAACAGTTCCGTGCATAGTACGCCAAGAAGTCGCCGTAACAGACCGTTTCATTGACTTATCCCTCACTTCAACCAAAACACCGGTAATTTAACAACTCTTCCAGATCCTAGTGTAGTAAAGACAAGTAAAACGACATTTTGAACTATAAAAAAAGAAACGAAATAAGATTTGTGTTATAATCAAATTGGAAAAGAGACACACATGGATATAGACAACAATTAATTTCCCTCATTAGGTCAATGCAGTTTCCATTTCGTGTAATCTATTTTCCCCAGTTAGTCCAATTACATGAGGGTATTTATTTTCATTTTGGTGCAGAATAGACGAAACGGGTTTTAATTTGCGTTTTCAGTTAATAACCACGGTTTCGAAAAGGACAGATACTACAACTACGGTTACGTTGAAATGAAAAGTGGATAGTTATATTTGACTATGGATATGCCACTTCCAGTTTGTGTATTTCAAGATCTGGAAGATGACCCTCATACGCGTGTTTGAGCAAGAGGTTGCAACATATTGCTCTATCTATGGAAAAAAGGCGTTCAACCCAACGATAATTTGAATAAAAGCTAGAGCTAGTCATTGAAACGAGAATCAACATGATAGTCAATAGAAGAATCAAAGATGACCAGCGACAAAAAACGGAAAATCTCAGTTGGTTATCTCTCCTTGTCAGGTGGCGCCGTATGTTTCGATCTAAACAAAATCAGGAATGCGATCTGTTAGTCAGCATAATACTTTATGCGGATCACCTATAGTGCTTAAGGATCACGTTGTGAAAGCTATTGAAGGTATAATTTCCAGTTTGGCTTGATATTAGTATACAGTACCACCCATAGTATTCAATGCAAAACTTGAGATATGTCTGTCAATCCACGCTTAGCCCTTCCTTCAGATTCAACAGAACTAAGTCGAACATCATTAGTCTAAGTAGGTGATTCTTGTATCAGAATAATGAACAATCAATAACATTTATTTTCTTGCTGAAATGATATTACCATCTTAACAATGAAACTTGGTTGACAAAACGTATATGAATGATGGATAATCTTTAAGTGGCATTTAGCGATTGGAAAACACATTAATAGAACACAATTTTTATGGGAAACAATCACTGGTTTATTCTAAAAGCACGACGTTTCGACAAGTATCCTCTTATCGTTATCAAGCACAATGACATTTCATAAACTTCAGATGAATATATAAGAGTGGACGTGGTGAAACCTTATAAGATAAAATAACAATAACAATAAAGATAAAGGATTAAACAAATTAGACATAAGATAAGTAGGGTAGTTAATTAGACAATCAACAACAAATGGAAAACATTTAGCTAATTATGAAGACCATCAAAGGGAGCCGTTGGATGCTGTTATGTTGTTTCAATGAGGTAATAGGGATGAAACCATTTACTAAGATATGGATAACACTTATAATAAATTAATGTAGGCATTGCATAGTCCATTAACAGAAGGCTAAATAAACAAGATAGGTGATAATATGTATGGTAGATGAGCAAGTGGTTATGACAATGAAAAAATTAAGAGTGTGAAAGCTCAAAAGAAATGACAAATGAAGTTAATAGCCTAATAAGTTAAACAGTCCAGAAAAAAGCCATAGGTTGGAAACATATTGTAATAAATGGGGTGATAAAGGGGGGGGGGACCTAACATATCAAGTGAGTAATTTACTTAAGAAGTACAACATTGACACTACTTTCTCTGTTCCCACAACCTTGAAACAGATACTTAAAGCTAATGGCAAACAAAAACCAACCCTTCCTGTTCAGCCTAAAGGAGTTGTATACAAAGTGAATTGTTCGTGTGATTTTCCATATATTGGCGAAACTAAACGTCCACTTGATAAGCGAATATCAGAACACCGGTCCAAAACTGCCACCAACAACTCGGCCGTAGCGGAGCACTTACAGAACCACCCGCAGCACAAAGTCGATTGGAATGGGGTGCAGATATTAACAACCAACCAACTGAATAGAAAAACAAGGAAAATCCTAGAAGCGATTAACATTAGGCGCTATTCACCCCAACTAAACAGGGACGCGGGGCTGCATATTTCAAGGGCATACGATCAGGTCATCAAAATGAACAATTCAACTTAAGTTACAACCCATTAATCACAAACTTTAACTGTTTAGTTAGTCTGAGAGAATTGGCAGTGTGTACTTGCTTTCTTACTATTAGTATGTATGTATTAGTAAGTTAAATGGTCCCCCCCCCCTTTATTACAATATGTTTCCAACCTATGGCCTTTTTCTGGACTGTTTAATTTATTAGGCTATTAACTTCATTTGTCATTTCTTTTTTGAGCGTTCACATACTATTAGTATGTATGTAATAGTAAGTTAAATGGTCCCCCCCCCCCCCTTTATCACCCCATTTATTACAATATGTTTCCAACCTATGGCTTTTTTCTGGACTGTTTAACTTATTAGGCTATTAACTTCATTTGTCATTTCTTTTGAGCTTTCACACTCTTAATTTTTTCATTGTCATAACCACTTGCTCATCTACCATACATATTATCACCTATCTTGTTTATTTAGCCTTCTGTTAATGGACTATGCAATGCCTACATTAATTTATTATAAGTGTTATCCATATCTTAGTAAATGGTTTCATCCCTATTACCTCATTGAAACAACATAACAGCATCCAACGGCTCCCTTTGATGGTCTTCATAATTAGCTAAATGTTTTCCATTTGTTGTTGATTGTCTAATTAACTACCCTACTTATCTTATGTCTAATTTGTTTAATCCTTTATCTTTATTGTTATTGTTATTTTATCTTATAAGGTTTCACCACGTCCACTCTTATATATTCATCTGAAGTTTATGAAATGTCATTGTGCTTGATAACGATAAGAGGATACTTGTCGAAACGTCGTGCTTTTAGAATAAACCAGTGATTGTTTCCCATAAAAATTGTGTTCTATGAATGATGGAGATTAGTATTTGATTAATATATGGGTTCATTTAGGATAAGTCGTGTCTTTCTATAACTCACTAGCCCAGGAAGTACATATTCAATGAGTCAGCACAGGTAAATATTTTAGGTTAATTGGGTCATTTATCCCGTACTTCCATGTATTTTTCAGAAAGAAGTGGAAAAACACACGAACTTACACAGCTGCTGGACAACCTTCTGGTGGTGTTAGTCGACCACCCATTGTAACTGACTGCATGACTTCTTCATTTGAACAACCTGGGTAAGGCATGTGACCTAGTGAAAATATTTCCCACAATAAAATTCCATAGGACCTGAAACAAAGCCACTCGATTGAAATAAACATTTAATGGCTTCGGATTTGAGAATCAAATACAGGTTATAAAGTTTTTCTCGGTAAGCATGCAAACGATTAATAAAAAATGTTAGCTATGTGAACTTTTGTTTATGACATTGTTTAGAAGATATTAACTTTCGAAGAATATGAAACAGTGCTCAATTGCTTACCATATGTCTGTTTTTGCTGTAAAAATGCCATCTAAAAATGCTTCTGGTGGCATCCATTTTACCGGTAGTAAAGCCTTTCCCGCCTTTTTATAATAGTCAGATCTGTAAATCAAGACATACTTTTAAATCAAGATGTTTGATATTAAGAAATTTAATATTTTAATTTGTTTATTTGGATGTCATATTATTGTTATAGTGAACTGTTTCAGGTTTTTATCATAGAAAATGAAAGTATGCTATACATATATGTATAACATAATAAAACATATTCCATTTTCGGCTAAATCATTGCTAATTAATTTGTTATGTTTTTGAGAGATGTCGGTGCAGAGTTGAGGAGGGGGCGGATTTCATTTCACGTACCTGTATATATCTCTAGCCATTCCAAAATCAGCAATTTTAGCTTTTCTTAATGGCCCCTTTGTGGTCAGTAAACAATTTCTAGCAGCAATATCTCTGTAAAATCCAAAAATAAAAATATTTACTAGACCACGATTGATATAAAAAAATATTATTCAAACCAGGACCTCTTGTCATCAAAATGTTCAACACAATTTCACCGATTAAACTGTTCGATACAAGAATTACCGGAAATGTTAGATCATTAACGGAATTCTTTAACACACAACATGGGGTGTGTTTATTGTTTCTTCAGTTAAGTAAATATGATAATAATGGTACCTTTACAAAAAAGGGGATGGGGTGGGGCAATAGTCTAATGCACACACTTTAGACCATAAGGCCTGTCATTCAGTCAGGTGGCGTGATTTCGATCCCAGCTTATACGAGACAAGTAGTTTGGTTGCCTGTCTAACAACTTGGTATTCTCCGGGTCTTCCGGCTTCCTTTCCACTTCTAAATACTTCTACGCACAAGCGAATTATTAAAATATAATCGAACCATATGTTAGTACCGAAATAACCTAGTTAGCCGCTCTCTCTCCATCTTCTCCCCGTCTCCCCCAATAGCCGTTTGTCTGGTAAATAGATAAGAAATAAATAAACCACCGAGAAAAGGGATACTTTTTAAGGAAGTTGGGTTTAACAGGGGTAGAGCGAAATAGTTATTGTTGTCCGATAATTATACCTCTCTATAAACCGTGCGTACTCAACCTAGTTGCGTCAAATCCAATTCCAATTCCAATTCTAAAATTTGGTGTATCTGGGACAAATTTAAGCACAAATGAGTTATATGCAAAGAATAATAGTTTCCATTTTCGTCATCAACTCGACTTATAACTATTTCAAACAGTTACTTACCTGTGTATAAAATGTTTATCTTCTAAGTGGTGGCAGGCTCGTGCTATATCTAGACATAATCCTAGTAAATCTCTTATCGTTAAATCAGGACATCTTGACTGTAATATATACAATGGATCCTAAGTATAAATTAAGCTTTATCAAGATTAAAAACAGTATTAATCCTTAAAGGTGGATTCCTGACACAAAGGCAAACTGATTATATTTTCTAAAATCAAAATATAAAAAATACATCATTGTAGCTGGTTATTATTATTTATTTTTTTTTATCATGAATCAAATCAAAGATTTTCGGAAATTTAGCCACTAATGAAAAACACGCCTCCACAATCTTCGGGGTGAGGGGCACAGACTTGCTGGGGCTCCTGAAAGAGGGTAGGCAGTCTCAACTTAGGACACTTTAGCGGGAGGTGGACAGCGCCTGGAAATGTTTGGTCCTGGAGCGTATATCTGAGCTATGGCATACCATTGCTAACTATGTTCATGTTTTGATCTTCAGGACTTAATCATGATCCCTCAAATAAGTTTCAATACAAAAAAACTAAGACAGTTTAATTGATTCTGAATATTATGGAAATATTAATTCGACTGTGAAAATCAAGGCCGTATTGAACTTGCATGGGGCAAATGTTTCAACAGTGAAAACGGGCATATTCTGGGCATTATCCGTCACACAAACACATGCAATTTGTATATCAGGATGGTTGATAGATTTATTTGACACAGTAGAACTATAATTTGGTTCCCCTTTAACATTGGGGCCTCTGGCAGAATCCTGGTCAGCACCCCGCTTAATCCGGGCTGGTGGAAATGGACTGGATGTTGGACTGGATGTTGGATCCCAAAATAAAATTTTAAAAGATATCTCAAAATATTAGCCCGCGTCGTTTTGTCCAGCCATTTGTGCCTAACTCCGACATTGTTTGGTCCAGGGCAAGTTGCTCTAATGATAAACACTTATCTGTTTTCAGGGGGTAAATTGGACCAGCAAGACTGAAATTTATATTGGTCTGAAGCCGAGGAGTTAATTGAGGAGCAGAAATAGTGAATCAAACTAGTTCTCTTTCATCATTCCACTAATTCTTAACCACAATGGGGGTCCAGCAAAGTCTTTTAAAATCGGTGCCGTAATCAGAGAAAAATTAATACCAGCAGCGTTAACCTTTTTACTGTCACACCGAGGCTGAGAATCAACAAACTCGGAGATTGGTCGATGATGTATGTACGTACATTGACCCAATTAGTTTTAGTATCTCTGGTACAATGTGAATATTATGGCATTGAAGTGGGCATTTCCTTAAAGGGACAATAACACTCTTGCTGGCTTGACAGCTCCAGAAAATAAAAAATAGCCTTATTCTAAGTACTAGATGTTTAAGTGTCCTACCTGTTGTGTAAATTATCCATTACATCCTATTTTACTTGTCCAGAGGGTTCAAAGATATTTTTAAATCGAAGTTGCATTTGAAAAAGTTTACGTTAGACGTTTCAAACCATTATGTTGAATTTTTTAAAATTTTTAAAAAAGGTGTGTTAAGATGAAATTTGTATCATCAATTAATTGAAATATTCTAAAATAGTACAATTTGTTGACCAGAATAAAGATTGGGACATATTATTCAGTTACAACAAGAGTGGTATTGAGCCTTTAAGTATATGTGGTAACTCTTTCGAAATTCGAGGATACCTTTTCAGACGAGAGGGCATATTTTTGGAAGGGCGGGCACATAGCCACACATACCCTTTTTGGTAAGAAATCTCATCGGATTCAAGCGTTTTCCAGTTTCTGGGGAGGTTGTGTCTTGGTTTCGATCCCTTGTGTGATCGCACGCGTCTTTGAGATATCGGTGCCTTCTCAACTTCGTGGGTTTACTCAGGTTTATAAACGCTCACATGAAAGATACCTTATTATGCGCTGAATATATTAAAATAAGACAATTTGTCTGCGACGTTATAAACCCTACGAACAACGACGACGATGGCTCAATCTCTAATTATACGAGTAGCTATGGTGTTGTAAGGGCCTAAACATTTTTAAATGTAATTGAGTTGTTACAGTAGTTAAGCTGAAAGACAAGCGACGTGGGTTAATCTAATTCAAATAATATATATATATATATATATATATATATATATATTTCATCTTTAAGATTCCGACTATTACACTGCATTATACTATCTAACACGTGTCCAGAACGGCTGCTTTTTCGCGGGTGTGGATGCTGGGGGTGGAGGGCTGTCGACGCATGCATTAGGAATGAATCAAATGGCATTTCACGTTCTACTTTTCTACGCCCCCTGGGCAAATGTAAACGACGTACAGTACTTTAGCAAGTTCAAAAATACATAGTTAATATAAATTTAGCCCCCACCCTCCCGACAAGTAAAACACAATAAAGTCATTACATGTAATATCCTAAATTACAGGATATAAATTATATTTAGTTTAACAGGATTTGAAACCTGTTTTTGCTTTCAACGATAAATGTTATATTTAATTGCACAATACTTTGAGGGGTTGGATGGCCGAATGGTTAGCGTGTGTGCGCTGTTTAAGGTCTGTCATTGAGTCAACTGGCGTGGTTTCCACTCCGCGGTTGTACGTGACAAGCAGTAGGGATGCCTGTCCAACCTCGTGGGTTTTCTCCGGGTCCGGAATTATAAATAACATTGAACCATATGTCAGTCCCGAAATGACCTAGTTTGTGTCGAGTGGGCGTTAAAGGCTATCTCTCTATCGCTTGCTATCGCTTGCTATCGCTCTCTCTTTCTCTCTCTCGCTCCTCTCTCTATCTCGCTCTCTCTCTCTCTCTCTCAAGAGAAAGCTATGAAAGCATATCTATTTAGTTTCATTTAGCGCAAAAGGATATCATACATTTGTAATAGATACTAAATGTATTAAGATACATTATGTACGAGCTAAAGCTTTTTAATGGATTGAAACACGGTCGCCATTCAATAATTTAACATAAAAATGTATAACCGAGGCTTTCATTATTATCGTAGCAATAGTCATTGACAATTGAGAGTACTGTCGAAACATCAAGCTCTCATGACTTTGCTAAAAATAAAGTAATTTATAGTTATCTATTTTGGAACTATTATAGCAATAAAGGACAGCTACTTATCTAAATCTTTCATTACGCACTTTAAGGTTGTAAACACATTTGCACAAGGACCACTATGGCATTTCTGATACTTAATTACAGCCAAATTTTGCGTTTTAAGCCTGTTTAATACATCTGGATCAAAACCTTGCCGACATATGAGATGTGAAGTTCTTTTTGAAAGTAAGTATGTTTGTAAATAAGATTAAGTAGTTGGCATGGAGTTTAAATTTGAACTAGTAAACAGGATAAGGGAGTCAAATGTCTGACTGTTAACAGATTTATTCATAGTTTTCCGAGAATTCCTCCCCTCTCGTCTTAGTCCAAGAAATTGGACACATAATTTCCACATTTTACAATGTACATGTCAAGAAGTATATGATGATAGGGTTTCCGAGATTACGTAAAAGTATTTTGGTCGTTCCCGAAACCATTTCAGCTCATCTTAATACCCCCCACACCCTTTCCTGTTTCATCCAGTGAGGCATAAAATAACCAAAATGTTTACCGCTGTTGGTCTTGACTCTCGTAGAAATAGTTTTAAGTCTCCGCCTTCCAGTACCTCCAATATTATATACCTAGGATGACTCTCAAAGCACACGCCGATCAGCTTTACGATATTTGGGTGATTAAACTTACTGGAAAAAAATGAAACGAAAAAAAACCTTCTGATCAATGTACCATAAACACAATTATAATCCCATAATATCTTCATAAGAAGTTTAATGCCGTTGGGCATTTCAATAGATGTTATGCAGATTAAGGTTATTGATCGCTTCACACCAAATATGAAGGTGATTGTTCTACAAACATGATAAATATATAAAATAACCCCATATTTGCTTAAAACGTTCTTAACAATATCCCACCGTGTAAAGATTAAATCAAATTATCGAGAAATAGACCAATATACCATAAATATTATACTTTATGTGAATAATCTATATAATTAATAAAAAAAATCGAGGCCATGCCAGACACGGTATTTTTTTTATAATCACTTCCGGTGATAGTTAAAATCCCGTAATGGAACAAGGGTAACATTAAGTAACATGTATTCCATATAATTGTGTAATTTTTTAATCCCCTCCAGTTACAAAATGCTGCTTAAACAATTTAACTGGGAGCTGCCAGGTAACGAAATAAGAGCTAAGTTATCACTGTTTGAAATTTTGACAAGATGTGGCATAGATTGTTTATTATTGTAACAATGGTACTTGTTACTCGAGACTTATCTTCGCTTCGACATTTTTATACGCCCACATTTTCATGTATGATTGTACGAAAAATCGCGTTTTTAGCTTGTGGACCCTATAGAGGTCATAATATTTATCCGATTTAAAAAAACGTTTTAATATATCACCGTTACACCTTAAAGATGGCTGTGTTCGAATTTCGTGAAAATCGGACCAAAACTGACAGACAAAATGGCCGCCGCTCGTTCTCAAATAGCGTTAAACTATGGTATATCAAGGTTGTGGACCCTCTAGAAGTGGCAATTTTCTTCTGATTTTGATGATACTTGAAATGTAAGTTTAAAACCCAAATATCTCGGTTCTTGTCGATATTCGCGCATATCAGACCGTAACTTTCTAAATTATGGCCCCTGATTGTACGAAAAATCGCGTTTTTAGCTCGTGGACACTATAGAGGTCATAATTTTTATCCGAATTAGAAAAAAACGTTTTAGTATATCACCGTTACACCCTAAGGGTGGTTGAGTTCGAATTTCGTGACAATCGGACCAAAACTGACATACAAAATGACCGCCCCTCGTTCTGAAATAGCGTAAAAATATGGTATATCAAGGTTGTGGACCCTCTAGGGGTCACAATTTTCTTCTGATTTTGATGAAACTTGAAATGTAAGTTTATAACCCAAAGATCTCGGTTCCTGTCGATATTCGTGCATATTGGACCGTAACTTCCTGAATTATGGCCCTCGATTGTAGGAAAAAACCACGTTTTTTGCTTGTGGACTCTCTAGCGGTCATAATTTTTATCTGATTTAAAAATAAAAACGTTTGAATATATCACCGTTACACCCTAAGGATGGTTAAGTTCGAATTTCGTAAAAATCGAACCAAAACTGACAAACAAAATGGCCGCTCCTCGTACTCAAATAGCGTAAAAATATGGTATATCAATGTTGTGGACCCTCTAGAGGTCACAATTTTCTTCTGATTTTGATGAAACCTGAAATGCGTGTTTATAACCCGAAGATTTTGGTACTTTTCGATATTCAGGCATATCGGGAAGTAACTTCCCGAATTATGGCCCCTGATTGTATGAAAAATCATGTTTTTAGCTTTAGAGGTCACAATGTTTATCCGATTTTAAAAAAAACAACATGTGAATATATCACCATTACACACTAAGATATTGGTTCCTTTTGATAATCGCGTATATCCGAACGTAACTTCCTGTATTATGGATCCTGATTGTTCGATTTTTTTTCCCGATTTTAAAAACCGTTTAAATATTCACCATTCCACCATAATGAAGGTTGAATTCGAATTTCAGGAAAATCGAAATTGTGTAAAAGTATGCAATACAAAGGGTGTGGACCCTCTTGAGGTCACAATTTTTATCCGATTCTGATATATTAAAATATATCTTTATATCCCAAAGATCTCAGTCCCTTTTGATATTTGCGCCATTCAGACCAAAATTTTCTGGATTGTACAAAAAATCACGTTTGTTTTTAGCTTGTTCCCTATCCATCTCTTGCAAAATGTGGGCGTATCCTGTCTGGCAGCCGCTGTCGAAATTAAATTATTAAGTGGAAAACCGTGTTTAGTCCGTTTAAATCTTCACCATTCGATGATCTAGAAGCCAAAATAAAGCCCTTCAATTGTCTTATTTAGCTGTTAGATAATACATCTTTAATTAATGCAAACAAGGAAATCGGGTATAACATTTATACATATTCCACTTAAATAATCACCAACCTTAGAATCACAGCTTCCATTAGAAAATCTAATTCTGTCTGATCTGTACATAATGCCGGCAGTGTCTACAGAAGAACATGAAATACAACGGGGTACAATAAATTATTGTTCATTGAATTAAAATTGTAAAAAGGAATATTTTGATAAAATCGATAACAGCATCAGTGATTGCAATAACTTTTAAAGTAACAACAATACACAATCGTGATAATATTATGGCCTAAACTAATTATTGTTTATAAATTCACAGACAAGCAAAATAGCACGAGAAATAACCGAAATCTGTGATGTTATGATACATGAATTGAACTAAAGGTTAATTGGCACATTTATCAAATACCATCTTCATGGTCAGGAATGGAAAGTGTCTGTTGACCACATTTAGTAAGAAGTCCCTACCAGGGTTCAAGGTATGGGGTATGTCTATTCCATATTTGGAATCTAGGACTGTGGTCAGCAGGGGCGTGCTGGCAGGGAGTTTAGGAGGACGGTGTCCTCCCAGGCCCCCATTACAATAAGTCCACCCGTATAAACGGGCCCCCTGAGAGCTCTAATTTTCATTAGCATTATATTAAGCAGACCTGTCATGAGTGTCTTGTGTAGTACAGTAGTATGTCTTATAGTCAAAATAGCAGCATAAATTTGGAAAATATGATACCTAGATTTCTCCCAGAAGTGCTTGCAAAACGCGTTTCCCGTTGTCAAATTTCAAAAGTTTTCTGTGGGGAGACCCCCCCCCCCCAGCGTCGCGCCCTTCAGCGACCGACGGGCCTCTTCGGAGCCCCTCCTCCCGGGCCCCTTCGGGGCCAGCACGCCCCTGGTGATCAGTCTATGATGTAAACCAATCGGGGGTGGGCACTGGGTACTATAAAAGAGAGTCGGGGAATATCATTCGGGAGAACTCACACCACTTGTCATATCAGCCATATACTTATTTGAGAACGAGGAAGATTTGTGACTAACGCTTACAGTTTATTCAAACAAAATATAAAAAAAAGAACCTAAAATGTAGTTATAGTTTTAGTCACCGAAGAGAATACAGTGTGAAGATCCAATAGTGCTACACAATTTCAGATACAACTAGAACTGTGATCACGGGTTTCACTGATGCCACGTTACCCTTGAACTGATGTCATTTCCCGTACCAATGGAAACGCTGAACATATTTCCACATGGGCATTGGACTCGTGTTATAATCTGGACGCAGATTTAGCCAATAAGTCATTTTCATGTATACATTTGCTGCACATGTTATAAAAGAAAATCACATCAAACAAATACTCGACACGGTGACATCACTCCCGCTATCAACTAAATATTTAAATTGGGTTACAGAAATAACCGAATAACCGATTCGATTGTCCTCTTTGCATGACTGAAAATCGATTAAAAATTAAACAGAAATTCACATTTATAACGCCTTTTTAAAAAGCGAAAATCCTTAAAAAGTGATCCTGACTAAATTGGTTATTAGTATCTAATTGATCGTATTGATTCACTCTTTTTGCCCATTGAAATCAAATATCTAATTTTATAAGAATAATGAATATCGCTCACTTCAAACACATATTTATTTTGGAGGCTAAAATATACACTTTTTGCCAAAATGACAGTTCTTCCGGTGATAGTGAAAATGTTAAATCAGTTTTATGAAATCATAAATGACATTAGGCATCACATGATGAAAATATAATGAAAATCGAATAAAAATTGACACTTTTATGAACTAGAAACCATGAAAAGTGACTTTTAGAAAATCGTCTATTTACCCGCAACTGAACAAGTTATAAACAATTTTGTGACATCTATATGACCGCATGGTTTCATTATATTTGTTGATTTGAATCAAATGTCTTAGATATAAACAAATAACAAATACGACTCGGTTGAATAAAATCTTTGTTTTGAAGGCTAAAAATACAGTTTTTGCCAAAATGATGCCATTTCCGGTGACAGTGAACCCGTTTGGTCTAGTCCAAAGTGACATAATGCATCACTTTTATGTAAATCCAAAAATAATACGCTTTTACATGCAAAACAACATGAAACGTGACTCATGCAAATTACCTATTTCTCGACAACTGATAATATTACCAACTTTTTTAATATACACTGGCCTCGTGTGGGTTAAGTCTACAAGTTTATGAAAGTTACGAAAAAATATTTCAAAATATGAAAAGCCTGAATGCATTGTAAATGGGTTATTTTTACACCCTTTTTCACCCTGAAATCGAAATGATGCAAATACAAAACCGAAATTAAAAATACTGAGCGCAATGTATTTTGCGCTTTTACTGTTTAGTAGCTGCATTCATCTTGATCTATCAGATTTGTAAAACTTAATATTTGCTTACGAAAATTTTAGAAAATCGTCTATTTCTCCTCAACTGAACAAGTTAGAAACCATTTTGTGATATCTATATGACCGTATGGGTTACATCTAGTTGTTGATTGGAATCAAATATCTTGATTATATACAAATAACAAATACGACTCAATTAAATAAAATATTTGTTTTGAAGGCTAAAAATACAGTTTTTGCCCAAATAACGCCATTTCGAGTGCCAGCGAAAACTGTTACATTGGTTTGACCTAGTCATAATTTGCATTAGGCATCAAATGGTAGATACAAAATGTAAACCCATTAATAATTGAAACTTTTACAAGCAAAATAACGTGGAAAAGACTCATGAAAAATTGCCTAGTTCTCGGCAACGGCTCATATTACAAACCCATTTTGACATATATTTTCATCGTATGCATTAAAGCTACAAGTTTTTGAAAGTAGCGAAGAAATATCTTCACTTTTAATTGAAAATGGCGCAAATACAAATCCGAAATTAAAAATAAACTGCGCAAGACGTACTTTGCGCCTTTAATAAGAGCATTCCTCTTGATTTATTAGATTTGTAAACATTAATATTTGTTTTTGAAACGACCTCCTGACCGGTCAAGATTGAAGTTGTAGCCAAAATTACGCCACTTCCGGTGCCGACAGAAAACTTTATCCGTAGAAACATATGAGCTTTTCTTTTATTTAAACCAGGCAAATCGTGTTTAACCTAGAACCCATAAAATGAAATTGAAATGCGAAAAATCTGGTTATTTTCTCGGCAAGGGAAGATGTTAGAAACATATTGATTCATTCTATTTGTCCACTGGAATCATTTATCATAATTTTATACGAATAATGAAAATTTATTCATTTCAAAAAATATTTGTTTTGGGGGCTAAAAATACAGTTTTTGCCAAAATGACATTACTTCCGGTGATATTGAAAATGTTAAGTTAGTTTTATGAAATCATACATGACATTAGGCATCACATGGTGAACATCTTATAAATATCGAATAATAATTGACACTTTTATGGACCGAAAACCTTGAAAAGTGACTTGTAGAAAATCGTCAATTTCTCGGAACTTTGTGATATCTATATGATCGCATGTGTTCATTCTATTTGCTGATTGGAATCAAAAATCATTAATTATAAACAAATAATAAATATGACTGTCAATAACTGAAACTTTTATAGGCAAAAGAAACCGCTCAATTTGCAAACTAATTTACGTATGGCTACAAGTTTATAAAAGATGCGAAGAAATATTTTAAAATATGAAGACGCTGGATGGGTTGTAAATAGCTTAATTTTACACCCTTTTTCACCTATATTCGAATGGCCCGAAAATGAAATCGAAGTTAAAAAAAACTGAGCGCGAGATTCTAGGCGCCTTTACAGGGCACACCCTTATAGTCATATCAGATTTTTAAAAAATAATATTTCCTTTCAAAAAGTGATATCCAACTATCAAAATTGTAGTTTTTGGTAAAATTACGCCACTTCCGGTGCCGACAGGAAACTTATCGGTAACAAAAAAAATGACATTTGGGACCACTTTGTTTTATACAAATCTAATAATATATATTTTAATATAGGGTCGAAAAACTGAATTAGCTAATTGCGGCTAACGTAAGTTACTGAAACAAAAATTATTCACATTTTTGCTCAAGTGAGACGACCCTTTAACCCTGTGCAAAATACCACCAAAAATATTTAAAAATAAAAAAGTTTCTTTGTAAAAATTTTAATTTTTTAAATTTGGCGCCTAATATCTCCGAGGATTTGCCGAAAATAAAAGATCAAAAGTAGCGTAGCTATGTGCCATGTCTCCGGCTATGCCAAAATGTACCGACAGTTAAAATCTGACCAATCTGATTAAAACACAGGTCCTATTTCGTTTCGTTTTTTATAGTTCAAATTTTCGTTTAACTTGTCTTTACTATACTAGCGTTTTGGTTGAAGGCAATGATAAGCCAATGAAACAGTCTGTTACGGCGACTTCTGGTCGTGCCATGCAGATTGATATGTCTGGCGTCATAGGTTCAAAAGCCGCTCGTACGACCACTGACACGACCTTCGAGTACAACTTGTCAGATCGTCATGTAGTGTAGGCCATCGAATGTACAAAAATACGAAACGAAATATAGGTCTGTATTATAATCAGATTGAAATCTGACGATTATTGTTAAATTACGGCAATATTTTTAAAAATGACAACTTCTGTGCTTTCGGACATTTCGCATTGTCGCTGAACGTTTAAAATAGCCTTTATCCTCTAAGTCGCACACTCTTTCCCAGTAAATCCGAAGAAGTCGTAATGATGCGACAAGTTCCACGTTACCCTTAACCTTATGTCACATATGGTACCAATGAAACCGTAACAGAATTCCACATAAGCAATGCACACGTATTATAAAATAGACGAGAATCAACCAAATCCAGCAATATCAATTCCATTTATACATGTGTTACAAATGTCAAGAAAGTAAACTGATCCTGACAAAATTTGTTACTAATTTACCCGTTAAGTTAGCTAACTTTCTACTGGGAAATTTCTCGTCAAGGGAAGATGCTAGAAGCAATTTTTGGACATCTAGATGACCGTGTTGATCCAATCTGTATGTCCATTGGAATCAAATATCATAATGTTAAACGAATACTAATTTGTTTTCGAAAAGAGGTATCGAACTGTCAAAATGGTAGTTTTTGGCAAAATTCTGTCACT